CGATGCCTGGCTGGAGAAGAATACTCAGCAAATGTTAGAATAAATGGCAGATGAGAAAACCAGGGCATAAAGAATGGTGGTGTGCTTGCGCTTCCCGCGCCCTGAGAAGCTTCTGATCCCCGGTCTTGCGGCCCCGGCCCGGTAGCACCCGCGGCTCACGTGGGTCAGGAACCCCCGGCGCGGCTGCGCTTCCTCCCGCCCTTCCCGCCACTCCCTGCCCTTGGAGGGGGTGAGAGGAAAGCAAGGAAGAAGAGGAGGATTCCACGTTTAAACCGGGAAAGAAAAGGCAAGATGTGTGTTCCTGCACGGAAAGAACATAGGAAGAGGAGCAGCAGTGGTTTCCAGGTGGTGCTGGCCATCATTTCACTCAGGCTCCCCCGTCTCAGATGCTCGTAACGAATGACCACAAATTTAGCGCCTTCCAATAACACGTGCGGCCTCCCGCATTCGCTGTGAGTCAGGGAGGTGGCTACAGCTATGCAGGCCTCAGCACCGGAGTTTCCCACACGGCTTGCTCAGTGTCCTGGAGACTGGGAAAAGGTCCACGTCCCGGCTCACCTGGGTGTTAGATGGGCAGCCTCACTTTCTTGCTGGGTGCTGGCAGCTTTCAGCCACGTTTACAGTGAGAATTTGGAGCAAAAACAGAACAGAAATATTTGAAAAACTTGCATTTTGGCCAAAAAAGAAGCATGTGTAATGTTGGAGCCAAAGAAGTTGTGATTGCTGAAGAAATTTGTGTCATTACAAAGAAGCCAAGAAGGCCGGGGATTTAGCTCAGTGGTTCAGCGCCTGCCTTGCAAGCACAAGGACCAGAGTTCGCTCCCCAGTACCAAATAAATAAATAAAAGAAGCCAAGTACTTTTCATAACAATAGGAAAGATGCTCTGAGAGCATCTCAGTAATTAGCCAGACACCATTTATCACAGGTGCAAGTGTGTAAAGCTATAAAGTTGCTTGAAAGATTGCTTTGGGAGACTGAGGCAGGACAATCACTGCAAGTTCAAGGCCAGCCTGGGCTACACGTGAAACCTTGTCTCAAAAAAAAAAAAAAAAAAAGACTTTGTTTTGAAAAGCAGTCCTGTGCACTCAAAGCCCCCTAAGGGAATAATGTTTCTAAATGTTCAACTATCCAAGCACTCAGCAGCTGTGGTCTAAGGGGCCCAGCTGCTGCTCAAGATGGTGGCAGACTTGGGCACCATCCACGAGATGCTGTGCAGGCACACAGAATCCAAGAGGTGTGAGAGTCATGGAGGATTCCGGCCACGTTTCAAACGAAGGCCTGGGAGGCCAGCAGTGTGTGACAGCATTGAAGTCCAGTCTGGGAGACCCTAGGAGGGCAACGCATAAGGTTCTGAGAGTGAAGCCAGAGCTCCGGGGGAGACTTCAGTAAGTGAGAGATGCCTGGAAAATAGAACAGTCACCAAGGAGAGCTGTAGGTCAAGAGTCCATGCGGGCCATAGAGGTGGGGCTGCCCAAGCCCTTTGGGGCCCACATCACAACAGTTCGTGCCCTAGATGCCAGATATGGAGCTGTAGGATTTAGTGTTTGCCCTGCTGGGCTTCAGTCTCACCTTGGCCCAGTTCTTTTCTACTTCCCTCCACCTCACTTTTTTTTTTTTTTTCTTCTTTTTGAGACAGGGTCTCGCTATACAGTTTAGGCTGACCTTGAACTCACAATGTAGCCCAGGCTGGCCTCAAACTTGCAGTGATCCTCCTGCCTCAGCCTCCCGAATGCTGGGATTACAGGCGTGCACCACCATGCACGGCCAGTCTCACTGTTTTATTCTGTTTCATTGTATCTTGGTAATATGTAATTTACTTTTATAAGTTATTGATAAAATAAAATATCAAATATGTAATGAGTACTTAGAATAGACATCAAGATGTTCACATCAGCTGTTTACTTGATTACAAAAGCTAAAAGAGAACATCAGAAATAAAAACTTATGTGAACTATAAAGTAAATATAAACAAAAATCTACCACAGAAACAATCTGCAAGGCTGCCCTCGCACATGAAACACATAGGTTCCATACACAAGTATCACACTGGTAGCACGTATGTTTTATTTTCATGCCCTTCCTTGTAAGGCACAATTGATATCTTTTTGGTTTTCGCAGCAGCCTCTTCACCTGTCAGCTCACCAGTGTGCTCACAGTTTTGAGGTGTAGTTTCCTAGGCATAAATATTTTGCTTTTCCTCTGCTATAAATGATCTCATGAATTCCAGTTCCAGTCCTCTAAGAAAATTTCTCTGAGGTATTTTGCACTTGTTATATTCTTTGTAAACGATCAAACTATTCATGCCACACAAGTTTAGAACTGAGTAAAACACAATCATTGGACAACACTTTGTGTTTTG